GAAAGATCAGAAAATAGTTTCAGTTACAGAGCTCTAGAAGTTCCTTGCAGTTCAGCACTAGTGCACTCAAATAATTGTCTTAAGTGATCTTTTTGCTTCAGTTTAAACTATCCCAGAGAGATCAGACAGTGAATGTCTGATCATTGGAATAACAAACATAAATATAAAAGTGTCTATTTAAATACAAACATATCAGTCCTACGGCTGGAAAATGTGTTGATTTAAGAAGAAAACTCATTCTCTATATTGTTGATTCAGGTACGCTGGCATACTTACAGGTTTTGCAACAACCATTAGGTAAGAATGTAATAGTTCCCTAAAAGAACAAAGAAACAGGAAAAATAACGTTATTTTCTTTCCCTGTATTAAAGAGACTCTTAGGCCTACAACTGAGGACAGCAATTCCGCAACGGCTAGAAATAACCAGCGAAAACTGTAGCATTGATCTGAATAAACAAAGATAATGGTCTCTTCCAGACTTGAAATCTATCAGTTTACAAAGGATTGTGGAAATAAAGATAATGCTTTGAAGGAAGCCTACAGCTAACATAATGCAATTTTTCCTCAGAAACAATTCCAAAAAATATTTTCTCAGAGACTTATGTATTTGAATGGGGAGTGTGCATGGTGTTATCGACAGCCCACTGACTGAACAGCTTGTGTTTCTGCGACGTTCAAGAAAACACAGCTCTTGTTCAGACAGCACCCTGCACAAAGCAGTCAGCGAGGACCTGGTATCTCAGTGCCGACCGATGTTTCGGTTACCGAGAGACAGCTATAGGTCTGTGCATGGATGCAGCAGAAACTTTTGCCCTGAGAAAACTGAGAAACTCTGATGAAAGGTCATCAGAGCTTAATTTGACTTTTGTTGCTGGTTAGTTACTACACTGAGTAGAGGGTAAGTTTTCCATATTTACTTACAGGTTTGCAACTTTCCTCATTGAATGCTGGGCAGGTAATCTCAGATGTGGAAGAGATAAGCTGGTTGCTGATATTTAAGCAGCTATAAATGGTGCAGTTGTTGTCAGGATCATTTTGAAACTCTCCAGGCTGCAAGCAAAATACAAAATGTGATAAGAAAAGCTGAAAGGAGCTTAGACAGACATTTTCCTGTCCTCTGACAATGACTTTCCTCTTGTTTCCCAGTCAATTATTTTTAGGTTAACAGTCATTTTGGATACAGATTATTACATGTATTGCAGTATGCCATACGTGGAGAAAATCTTCAATTTAACATGGGATTTCCCTTGGAAAAGAAAAAATCCCTCTGAAGTATGCAGAGTACATTAGAGGTAATAACAAAATCATCCATACCAATGGATTTTGCCATGGGAAACTAAACTGTTATACGGTAATTAAGAACAATCCTAAATGTTCACCCATAGGGGCAATAAATCCATTTTATACGCAGGCTTTACTAGCATTTTTCAGTACACAGAAATCAAATAATATAGAAAAGCCCAAGCTTCCAGACATCGCAAAAGAAACTATTCCAGTGGTATTGGATTTGTCATTCCAGGAAGAGCCTTTCAGAAAATTTGATTTCATGAGTCCTTTCTTCAGGCCAAAAAATTGTAGACAGGCTTTGCTTTAGGTGAACCTCTGACCTTTCAGCTGCAAACTTATACTGAGCCTTATCTCTAACAAGGAGGTGTTCCCTTTCTGAAAGGGAGAACTTCACAAATTTGGTAGAGATGTAAGATGTACAGCTACTTACATTCAAGATGAGGACAGAACCGTTTGCTGGATGTATAATACACTTAGTCTGCACACATCTTCCACAGCATTCGCCTTTCACTGATTGACGTTCATACCCCTAGATATTAAAATTAATTAAAAATGAAAGTACTATAATAGATGCATTTTTGAGAAATAAATGAAAGCACACTAACCCATCAATTGCTTATGCTTTGAAGTGCACTCTAGATTTGTGCCTGTCTGTGCTCTAACCCAATGGAACACAAGTAATAAAAGCAGGCCACGGATGGAATGAATTAAAACACTATAACAAATATGCCTAACAAATAAATATCACTCCTTTAAGTGCTCTATGGAAACTTCCCAGTTAATCCTCACAACGTGAACTGAATAATGTAAGTTACATGGTCAAGCTTCTCACAATAGATTGCTCAAGGGCAGTTGGTATTCATGCTGGACATAGTTGGACTACGGATTCCTGCTCCCTGTCTTTTGCTTATACCACTCGTTGATTGAACTACTTTTCATGTACATGGATATTTTGGGGTCTTTTTTGTTTGTTTCAAGTTTGTCACTTACTGGCTCACAATATGTGTCGCATGGAACATGTTCACAGGAGATGATATTCAGTTCAGTGCTGACGTTAACTTCATTAGTGCAGAAACAATTCTGACACTTATCAATGAAGACTGAGGAATTAGGCTATAAATTTTAAGAAAAAAAGTTTCATATATTAATGAGATATGACATGTGTGACAGACATTTCTTAACATCCAAAAAATCTGGAAACCAAGCAATAGAAAAGGAAACAATCATAAACACAATTTGAGAGCTATTTGGCTAGCGATTTATGAAGACAACATTTTAAATACTGAACTTAATTTAACATCTGTCTTTATTGAAGTCCTTTATAGCAATGATTAACTCAGATATTAAAAGGACAGGTGTCATACAAATATCTGCAATAAAACAATTACTAGACCCAACAGAATTTACTAGGAATCTAAGTCTGTCTAGAATAATATTTATTTACAAATCTCTTCATTTTTGAAAGCAGACTCTTAGAACTGCAATAACATGCTTACAGTAAATGTGGACTGACTTTTTAAAATATATGCACACTTAACTCTAAACTCAAATCTCTCTCTGATACTGACATACAAACAACTCTTCAGTCTCTTTCATACAGCAACCTTTTCAGAAAAGATTTAGGCTTTGTGAATTTGATGAACTCCTGACAGGAATTTGAAAATTTCTAAAATATTGATTGTACCAGATAAACCTCCTCATAGCACTTCTGATAAAGTGCTAACTGGTCTTTTAAGCATTTTCAGAGGATTGTTGAAGAAGGAACTTACCAAGAACTCAGCATTCTGATGTACACAAACACCCTTGGCAACTGTTAACAAGCAAGGAGTTAGGTGGTTATACAGGGCAGGGAGGAAAAATTGTCTTTACCCCACTCTAGTCAAGCTTATTTCTTCTACAATGAATCACAATGCATACAGCCAAATACATTGGATATTCTCCATTTCTGTTAGCAGATATGACATATATAAAATACAAGAACAAATACTGCATGTGCAAAAAAGGGAGGAAGATTTGGGCCGATATGTGAAGTCCAGTTCATAGCCAAGAATGTCCACTTAACAGGTACAACTAGTTCCCTGTTTCAATTACAAGAACAAAGTGGACTTTGTAAAGCCATCTTCTAATGGGCATGCTTACAGGGACATTCTGCTAGCTTAAGCTGAGACCATAGTCCCAGTAAATTCTGTAGCTGTTCTTACATGTACTGACAAACAAGAAAATTGAACTCGAGCCACCTGAGCTGTATCTGATTTCGTAGCTGTTCACCATAACCATAGCAGTAGTAACCAATGTAAATAGTAACCAATTTGTAGAAACTGACTATTTTTATTACTTCTTTCAATGGACTATTGCATACAATCTTACTAAGTGTGATGCTAAACTATGTGATGTGTAATGCTAATCATTGTAATATATTTCCAAGGGACTTACCACACTGGTACACAGGACAGCACTGACCACTGGGAATATGAGAATAGACTTCAAATCCCAGTGTACACTTGGGGGCTTTAGCTGTGCACAAGCTTGTATTGCATTCTGGGGAAAAAAAAAAAAAAAAAAAAAAAAAAAAGCCAGAAAGTATACTAAATCACGGCTACTAGAAATAGGCATCAAAGCATTTAGGATAGACTATCCATTGCTAGGAAACAGTCCAGATTGTCTCCAAAGGAACAAACAGCAGAAAGAGAACATATTTTTCCTAGTGAATGCAGGCACTGGATTGGGGGACTGCACTAGTTTATGAAACTTTTTTTACTATGCAATTACCAAGCGTTTAAAAAGTATCACAATTGTTTGTAGAGTAGTGAATAACTGTTACTCTCTCCAAGGTTGTAGGCAACTGCTGCAAAATGAAAACCTACATTGAATGCCATGATCTATTTGCATTTTACTTGAATAAAATGTGGTCCTGAACTCAAGAACTATTGATTCAGTGACGTTGAGTCTCATAACTGTAAATTCAGTTATATTGAGTCATTTCAATATTAAAATGTATTTTCCCTAACACTGGGGAAGTTGATTTTGAAAAGCATGAGGAAAGATACTATCTTGTGACTCCCTGCTGCAGGTCTCTGGTGCTAAACTGTTTCAGTTGTCTTTTCCTTTCTATTCCTAAAAGGTATAGAGAGACTAAAAACAAAAGTATAAACTCACTGCAGGTGACAATGGGGCAGCAGGAGTCTTCAGAATTGAATTCATTGACCTCATAGAAGCCTTCTCCATCACAACTGGTCTTGTTTTGTTCGGCACATTCATGAGTCTGACATACAATGCCATTTTCACCTTCCAGGCAAACACAGTCCTGACAGCCTAACATAAACTCTTCTCCAAACTGTCATTAAAGAAAATAAAGTGAGTGATTGCACGTTTACCAATTAAAAAGAACAGAAGTCAAAACAGGAATAAAAAGTTGGGAGACCACAAAACAAGACTGCACCAGTGGAGACCACTCTCCTCTCCCCACTCCCAGCCTCTACACGAAACACAAAAGCGTATGGCAGCATACCTCTCTTGGTGTTTTGTCCACTCCAACACAGCCTGTGAAAATATCAAAATAAATTTCCATTACCACTCATATAATAGTAGACATCTCTACTATATGATGTATGAGTACTGCATACAGTTAGATCTATGTTGCATACATGAGAAGGAAACAACAAAGAGGAAAAAAAAGTGAAGCAGTAAAACTCACCGCAGGTTTTCACACAGACATCCACACCAGAGTCATACAGCATTGTTCCATTAGGACAGAAACAGCCTTCCACTTGTTTTGTTGAAGTTTCATTTTGTTGACTGTATGAGATAAAATGTTCAGAGGAACACCGTTACTGTCACAGGCACGCAGAGGAAGATTATGTCAAATAACCTTTCACTGAAGATAACAGTGGCAAATGATCTGCACATTTACACTTTAGAGATTGTCACTGTTCATGTTTGCTATAGCTGCATGACATAAACAGCACAGGCACTCAGATTAAAGATCAGGAGAACAGTGGTACCAAATTTGACAGTCAATTTAAGACATGACAGGAGGTTGATTTCTCTCATCTACCTATGCATTAGATATGACTGAACAGTTGTATGAGCTATAACTAACAGTAAAGGCATGATTTACCTTGTTTTGCAGGTTATCTCTTTAATAGGACCACATGCTCTGTATTCTTTGTCTGAGGAGCATTCATAAGCTGGAAAGGGAGAATAAAAAGGAGGAAGAGCTCAGTAACAATATCATATAAAAGCCCCATGACTTTATGCCGAGAAATTAAACACTGACTACTCATTTTCCTATGTATCTTTGACAATCTTGAGAAGCAAAGAGAAACAAAAAAACAGATATCAGACTCATGTATCTGAATGGAATCAGTTTACGCAATTTAGCCATAGAAATATAGCACCATACTTCGCATTAAGGAGATAAGGCCAAGAGTCTACATCTTGACTACGATTTTTTTCATAAATTTAGTCGCTTTTGCACAAGTTGTCAAAGCGGAGTGTATTGCTACCCTCTGTCCTTTTCTTGCTGAAATCAAATGCATATGTCACTAAATAGAGTGATCTGCTGATGCCGGCAAAACACAAAACTGCCTATGTACAAAAAAGTATCTACTGATACAGATGTTTCTAGCACAGTCAATAGATGTATATTTTTGCAGCGTTATTTATAATTTCCATTGTTAGAAATGTTAAGTGTAAATTACTCAAGGAAAAGAGCTGGTGTGATTTATTGGTGTCTTCATTTCTTGGAAAGCAGTATGACTTACCTTTAGGGCATTGTTGCTGAAACAGTTCCATATAAGCTTCCCTAATAGTTCAAGATAAACGATCAAATACTTACAGCAAAGACCATTGGTATGACTTCTCCAGTCAATGCATACGCCTTGGTCAGCGCAGGTGGCAGCATAGATCTGCAGACTTGAGCATTCCAGGTCTAAGTTGGGAACCTTACAACTATCAAAAAAGCAGGCTTCATAGTACTTTTGAGGCTGGACAACGTTGTGGCACGGCTCGAACACACTAGAAACAGAAACATTTATCATTGTTAATTATTGAATAATCCATGAATTCTTCAATGTGTTTGAAATGGTATAACGTGGCAACAATGGTGCTTAAGGAGATGTGAACAAGGACCATTACCAAGAGATTTTTTACTAAGAGCACTTATCTAGATTGTAACCTTTCAACATATGTTAAAGTATTCTCCCCTCACCTACAAAACACTCAGGCACCAATATTTTCTGTCCAGGAGCTACATGAATATTGTCAAGTGTAACCATGAACTACTTTTCCAAAGATTATTTTTTTTTTTTCTAATTCTGACACAACTTTCTAAAAATCAAGATCTCTATTTTCTGCTAAGTGATTGTGGAAAAAGGCATGAGCATAGGACAGCGGATGGTAGAGAGCAGAGAAGAATGTGAGAACATCAAGAAAGGCTAATGTAGCAGCCAGAGGGTTGGAAGCAAACTATCCTGCATAGAAAGACATCTAGAAACAGTAAAAGGAATTGAAGCAACCCACACAGCTACAAGAAATGAAGCAATAGTTAGAAACACTTTTTATTTAGAAATGAATCCTAAAATTGCTGCTTAATTTGAAGATCAAAGGCTTATAAACCCCAGAGGAATGTCTACCTTCCCAAAAGAAGCTTGCAGATGGAAGGCTCTTTGCAAGATGTTGTTGGGGTTGTGGTAGGTGCTTTTGTAGGACTTAGGCCTGGAGAGCACTGTGGTTTGGAGGGATCAACAACTTGCCAATGATCTGCCATGTTTTCACAGCTTTCTGCAACGCTTCCATTCGGCAACATGCAATCATCTGCTGTGTTATTATTGCAAGTACCTAAAGTTGGTAGGAGGAGAAAGAATTCACTCACAGATTTGTTATCAAATTCCATTCAACTTTGTGGCAGGGCTGTCATTTAGCTGCTGGTGGTTTTCTGAGTACAAAAATTACAAGAGTAAGCCTTACCACACTGTCCATGAGTGTTGTTGCCAAACAGGCTGTAGGGCATTCTAATAGAAAAGGACAAGCCATTGTAGGTCACGTTCATTTTTAGTTCAGGAATTTCCACTACGCGATTTATGCCTGACTCATAGATGCTCACACCAAATTTTTTATAAGGCAAAGACACTTTCTGTTTGTTTACTGTCACCTAATAAATAAAAGAAAACAGAAAACAGACATACATTTAGTTTGACTTTAGAAAACAATTAGTCGATTGTTCATTAATTTGTATTGGGGATAGAATGTAAAAGCAAATAATGTGCTTATAGATTGTAACAAGTGTTCCTGTGTTTCCTTTTAAAGGACCAAAAGGAAAGGACTTTCTTTTAAAGAAAGTCAAACCTTTCTTCTCTGAACCAAAGAAAAGGCCTATCAGCCACTGATAAATCAGGTCAAAATTCAGAGTTTAAACCAGCTAAATCCTAACACTCAGAGTGACTGTGGCATTAAGGACACCCCGTAAAAGTGCAATATAAAATTCTCCTACATTCTTAGTGCACACAGTTTTAACTTTTTCGACATAAAGGGAACATGCTTCTAAGAAAATTAAATGAAAGAAATAAACCAAAATCTGTATTATTTATTTAAATAGAGTAGCTATGGTATACCTATGGAACCAACACTACTGATTTTACTCAGCAATGGTAGATTTCCTTGCTTTGGAGAGAAAAAAAGAGGTCTAAATAGTGCAAATTTTCAACAATATGCTGCAACCTAACTTGTAGTAGTATCCCCACACAGTAATGTACAAAAATAAACCAAACAAACCCACAAAAGCCTAAAACCAAACACTTCTCACCCAATTTTGAAGCCCCAAAGCTTGAGCATCATGTTTATCAATGAAATAAACACATTTTAAATAAACAGCCTCTGTTGTGAAAACTAAAAAGGTGACACCAATCAAAGCTAGTAACGGTATGTTTAAAAAAATTTTAAGCCCAGTACTTTATTGTTATGTCTAGTTTATGTTGTGTCCTCCTGTTCAACATTTATTCTTTTCCTTTGTTACATTAATATTAATTATAAATGAATTTATTTTATATCCTTAACTCTTAGCAATTTGTCCGTGTTTGCGTATTTAGGAGAGATAAGACACTGCAAATATTTGAGATAAAAAGGGAAGAAGTTGTAGAAATCTTTCCCCATATTCAGAATAGAAAGAGCAGTCCTTCAAAGCCGTCCTGTTGTATAATCCAAACATATTAAATCTAAAACACAGATTCCTTTTTAATTTTTTTCCTAACATTGTGAATATTATTATCAAGTTGATGCTGCATTAGTATTTTAATCAAGAAATCAAACGTAACATTCTCCAATACCTCTACTTGTAGAGTATTTGGTTCGACTGTTGCCATGCGCACTTCCTGAGTCTCATGTCTCACAATGAGTGTTCGAGGACAGGACACCACATCCCGTGCATCACAATGGTAGTTATCAATGTAGACACCAAAGTTGTCAACTTTCTTATCGATTTCTTCCACAAGGACGTATGTACAATTCCCTTGATAGCTGTAGTACAGTCCATCAAAAGTCAGGTAATGCGGATCTCCCCAGCCAGTGCAGTAACCTGCAAAAACATACAGCTAGGTTAGCCTCTTATGGCAACATACAGAATCAGATCAGACTACAGACAAAACCTGTAGGTGTGGGATTCCTCTCAACTAACTTCAAGCATTTAAATCTTTGAAGTGTGTATGTCAATGCATGAGCTCATTATCCAGAACTCATCAATAACAGAGAAAGACAAGCCCTTTCAGGGCACAGTTCATATGAGTGATTTCCGATAGACAACTGAGAATAGGATTAACTGCACCCTAGATATACCTTTATTGAAAATCTGAACGGGTAATTTATACGTAGGCTTCTTGCCTATAGGTGTCTGCATCTGGACTTTTAAATCTTGCCTTGGGAGATCAATTTATGCTACTAAAAAATAGTTACGTAGAAATGACGGCAAATTAAGCAAAAGCTCCCGATTACCTAAAAAGACTCAATCAAGCACTTCAAACAGACCAACACTAGAAGTCTGAGAGTCACAACCTTGTGTGATATTTGTCCCTGATACATATTTTTGCTCATGACACTAGTATTGTTCCGAGAGGAGATAAAATATTCACAAAGCATATACTTACAATCACACTCCCAGTGCCAACAGCATCCATCCTCATCAATGACTTGCACAGGAGAAAGTCCATTGGTACATGAGGGTTTAGGAGGTGGATTGCATTTTACAGGAAACACCTGGATTATATTGTCTTGTATACATACTGCCTTAGTGCAGTTACAGAGCCACCATGAGTCACCCGGCTGTGTTTGGAAAGAGAGAGGGAGAGGGAAGAGAGAAGGAAACTTTATGAAGCAGTCAGACTGACAACAGTTATGCCTGAATATCTCTTGCAGAATGTTGAAATGCCATATGTTGATTTACAAATTTTCCCTACCAAAAGTACGTGCAGCAGTCAGCACAATCAAGACCTGCAAGATTAACCAGCACTATTGAGAGCTGCTAAGTGAAAAGCATTACTTATAAAAGTCAAGCTAGTAACATGAAGTGAGAATTGCCTTTTTTAGTTTCAGCTATCTAAAAGTTAGATGTATGACCTAATCTCATCACCTAGACTCCCTCTCTAATCAACAATGAAAGAGACTGATCAATATCAGTAATCGATTTATGATCAATCTGCTTCCATGAATGCCTAGAACAGATTAACAGCTAAAGCTATGGCAAACACCAGCTATTTGGGGAGTAATGCCTAAGGTGACTATGTGCAAGCATTGTGATTTGATGTTTTTTTCTCTTTCACCAGTTATTCGGTCATGTATAATTTTTATCTCAGAACAAGTTGGTAGACATCTAAGCTGTGAGGAGTTTTCAGAAATGTACAATACATTAGCTTGTCTGTATCAGAGGTGGAGGGTTTCAAAAACCTCAGAACTCTGAGTCAAATTCCATGAACATTTGAATGCGGTGATCTGTTTCACAGTCCTCCCTGAAACCAGACTATGACCAAGTATGACTCAATCCAAATCCAGACTAGTTCAGCCCTGTGGGTTCTCATTGGGTTGCATTATAAACCCACAAACAATATTCCCCCATTTTGGACATATTCAAAAGAAGAAACAGAGAAGATAGTTTAGAACCACTTAGCTCTTGGTTATGTCCTCATCAAAGCTATCATACAATAAAAATAAAAATTGAGATCTAACTCTTTGAAGAAAGCCTTTTTAAAACTAGTCTTGAAGAACAAATAGCAGTATATAAGCTATTAAACTGAATATCATTGAAAGTCCTGCAGATGCTCAAGAAAATATAAAGAAATAGAATGGACTGATACTTCCTTTTCTGTCCAGATTAAAAACCTACTCACTATGTTACTAACATTGACATTATGTCCTAGTATCGATCCAAAGTACAACGCATAACCAAATTAATAAAATCTACTCACCGCATAAGATTCACCAGGTAAAATAGAGCAATTTCGTCCAGAAGTGGTTGATGGTGGACTTGCAGTAGAACTTGCACTGAATGGAGTAACTGTACTGTATGTAGAACTTCCTGTAATAGTGACTGCACTTGATGTTGCAGTTGGACCAGAAATACTAGTTGAGGCTGGGGAAACAATTTCGGAAGTGGTGGTAGTTGCATTGATTGTGATAAAATTACTAGAGGTAGTTCCTGAAGTTGTAGTAAGAGATTCTGTTGGAGTTGTACCAGAGGTGGTAACAGACACAGGACTGGATGATAATAAGGGCAGAGAAACAGTACTGCCAGAGGTAGACACTAGGGAAGATGGTCCAGAAGTCAAGCTGAATGTGAAGGCACTTGAACTTGTGGGAGTAGTGTGAATTACAGTGGTAGTATTTGGGCTACCAGTAACAGTTACTATTGTAGAGCTCTGGGAAGAAGGTTGGGAGGGTGTGGGCTGCAACGTGGTGGTTTTGGTGGTGGACCCTGTTTCAGTGACTCCAGAGGTGGTGACTGTCACTGGGCTTGTTGGGACTGATGGCAGTGATACCGTCGTGCTGGCTGTAGGCGCTGGGGAGGATGGTCCTGAGGTTGTGGTGCTGGCGGTGCTGGCAGGTGATGCTGTTGGAGGCCTTCCAGTCCCTGTGCTAGTGGTCTCGTGGCTAGAGGTTTCCGTTACTGTTGTGGTGCTCTGGGAAGAAGGTTGGGAGGGTGTGGGCTGCAAAGTAGTGGTTTTGGTGGTTGACCCTGTTTCAGTGACTCCAGAGGTGGTTGCTGTCACTGGGCTTGTTGGGACTGAGGGCAGTGATACCGTCGTGCTGGCTGTAGGCACTGGGGAGGATGGTCCTGAGGTTGTGGTGCTGGCGGTGCTGGCAGGTGGTCCTGTTGGAGGGCTCCCAGTCCCTGTGCTAGTGGTCTCGTGGCTAGAGGTTTCCGTTACTATTGTGGTGCTCTGGGAAGAAGGTTGGGAGGGTGTGGGCTGCAACGTGGTGGTTTGGGTGGTGGGGGTGGTGGACCCTGTTTCAG